ACAAAAAAAAAATAGTAGACTATAAATAATTTTAGGTGGTGTCTTGGAGACTTTTGGATCATTATTGGCCTGAAGTTCTTGGTGAACCTGACCTCAACAAAGGGCGGAACAAATCGAGAGAAGCCACGGCTGTGGAATGAATGATTGGGTTGTAAAGTCTTAGGATAAACCAAAAGTACATTTACAATAAAGCCATGCACGTGGATTTACTTATATTCCATGAATGAGCCACGTGGGTTTTCATTCAATGGATTCATTTTTCTGTCAAAATCAATTAAAAATCAAATACTGTAGCAGTTATATCACAAAGACATCAATGATGCCGATCTTTGGAACTTATTTAGTTGTACCAAAAAATCTAAGAAAACAATAAATGGTTGAAATGCATATTAGACGATTACTCGTGTAGGTGTAGTCGTGTTACTCGTGTAGGTGTTTCGTTTTTGGTCGCCAAGTGCGTTTCACTTTAGGTTTTTGAATTGCATTAGTTTTAATTTGGTTTAAAACATTTGTGTTTTAAACTCTCATGTTATTAGACGGATATCTTAAATTATGGAGGTTTATAGAAATAATTGCAAAAATGTCATTTTTGGTGTGTTTATTTTCAAAAATGCTAATATAGGTCGTCTATTTGCAAAAATACCATTAATGAAAGATTTTGAAATCCTAAATCTCAAAATTCTAAATCCTAAAAAAAGTTTTGACCTCAAACAATCTATAAACCCTCCAAACTAAACTCTAATACAACATAGTTGACCCAAACATAAATGATATATTGAGTAAATAATTTTTAAAAAGATTTTGAAAAAATGATATTTTTGAAAAGTGGCACTTCAAATTAGCATTTCTAAAAAAAATTTCTATTTTATAATATACCCTATTATGTCTGAATTAACATTTTTTATCCATATCCATTTTGCAACTACAAGAATGTCTAGTGTACGAATATCCATTAAACTCAAGATATTTGGCTGAATTTAGCTATGTAGATTTACATAATTCATATTTTTAAAATCGAATTGAAATCGATAACAAACAAATTCGGGTTTTCTATTTAGTTTAAAATTTTCAAAAGAAAAAAATTGTATGATTCAAACCCAATGTGCATATCCTACAAAAATAGAATCATGAGGACAAAAATTTGAACCATGGGCTAAACATGTAGTATTGCATGGAACGTGAAAAAAAAAAGAGAAATCGGTTTTTAATTTTGATTATTAGGAATTCGTCTATATGTGTTTAGTTTTATAAATCGTGAAAATTCTAAATCTTTGGTTCATTATCTACTCAGTATCCGAAGTCAACCTTTAGATATCTTGATTTTATAAAATAACCCTCTATTCTAAAAAAATTTTGAACTAGGAGCACAAGCAAACAGATCCCCTTGTATTATCCCTAGACCACCACATTTTTGGTCATTGTTGACAAGACAAATCAATCTGCTTAGGCAGGCATACACCATTATTTTAACGAGTAAAGAACAGTCCTCTGAATCTCTGCCATCCATACATGTCATGGCCAATATTAATGTTTCTACTTCTATCTTCTGTGCGTAATTCCTACTCCCATTTTCTCTATTTCAAATAGTTTTTTCTTGGTAAAACTCTATTTCAAATAGTTCTAAACGTAAAACCATCCAAAACTAGAAAAGATATATGTCTCCTACTAAAAACAACCAATAAAGCATTTATGACACGAAATTATGTAGATTGAAAGTTAGGTGGGTCAAATTGATCATGTTTTCTGTTATTAAACTCGTGCGGACTTCTAAGTTAGGTTGTTAGGAATTTGTCTAGTTTTTTTTTTTTTGACACACTTACAATTTTTCTTGTTTTTGGTTTTAATTATTCTTATTTTATAAAGAAAATAATCGGTCAATAACATGCATTATAATATTGGGGTGCATATGGACATCGCTGCCATCTCTATATTACATTTTTTGGTCTTTAGTTTGTTTTGTGTGTCAAAATAACCAAGTTTTTATAGCATGAAATGCAACTGTACTAGGATTAAGCTGAGTTTGTTTCTTAGATTAATGATATCTGAAAAAATGAAATAATTACGTAGTGCTAATAATAGTCGACATGGGTTTCAGGACAAATGTCATCGGATAAAAGGTCTTTGCGAAAAGGTGGAGGAAGAAAGGGAGGACGAGTACACATGAGCAAAGCCCAATTCACTCCTTGGAAGAATGGGTGTCGTTTCACGGCCGATGCACCCAGAGACGATCCCAAGCGTCGGGTTGGGTCCTTGGCCAGTAGCTGAGAGATCAGATCCTTGGCCGCGCTTGGGATCGTTGGCTCTTTCGGGAATTCGAGGGCTCGAGCCACGATGTTGGCAAGGGTTAACTCGTGGTCCATCCCTTTGAACGGCGTTGTTCCGTAGAACATCTCGAACATGAATATCCCCAGTGTCCACCAGTCCACCGCACTCCCGTGCCCTTCTCCTGCCATCCACATTTTTTCAGAAATATATAACTTACCTTAGAATCATGCATATAATGTTTATAGGCATGCAAATTCGTTTGGGGACATGCATGTTATTGGTATAATCTAAGCTGACGTGGATTCGAAGTATACCTGAAACTATCTCAGGAGCTAAGTACTCATGCGTCCCAACAAAGGACATGGACCGGACGTCCACAGGCTCGGCCACAAGCTCAGGACCATTGTTACGGTGATCGGTCTTCTTCTTTCGCCTTCGGATTCTCGGGTGGAAGCAGGAGACAGCAGGGACAATACAATTGGGGATCATACAAGAGGACGACGTCGTCTGACGGTGGTCCATGGCTTGATTCTCGCTCTGGTCAGAAGAGCCGTGAGGAGGTTGGTTCCGGTTCAACACGATCTGTGGGGTGGAGGTGGATTCGTCACATTTTAAGGAGAGATCAAAATCGGTTAGCATGATGTGACCATCTGATCGAACCAGCACGTTTTCAGGCTTCAGGTCGCGATAAACAATCCCCATCATGTGAAGATATTCAATGGCCACGATCACTTCCGATGCATAGAATCTAGAAAAAAACAGTAAAGAGATGTGATTATTAGTAATGTGAACGCAAAATGATAGGAGGGACAGGGAGGAAGAAAACAGGGTAGTGAGGACAATACGAATAATGGAGATTTGCAAAAATTAACAAGACTTGTTTTGGAATCTTTGGTTACAATTTTTAGGTGTTGTGACAAAACAGCATCTGTTGGATTTTGGGGACAAGAAGATGAGGTTTGGTTTGATGTTAGTATGCATAAGGAACAAAAGTGGACCTACAAGGTTGTTGGCTTAACGAACTCTTTTGTCTAAGAGGGTTCTGATGCAAAGATATCACCCAAAATTCCTCTTTACCTTGACAAAGCCAGAGCCGACCCTTTTGTCTTCGTTAAGGGTGGTCCACATTAAACAGACACCACACAAAACAGACTAAAAATCTAGAGCTGAATTCTAGAAACAACATCACTCCCAAACAACAAGTTCACACAAAAGATAGACCCGCAACTTTTCTTACACACGTTTCGATAAACCCATTGTTCTCTTTATCGTCAAAGAAAAACAAGAGCGTAAATAAGTTCAAAATGGTCTCCTTTTTCTTTTGAAGGAAATTACCCAAATTTCAAAGGATAGAGTTTCTTGATGTCAAATGCAGCTAACTGGAGATAAATGGGACCTGGATATGTTGTAGGACAACATTAATAACATAAGGTTTTTATCCAAAAAAATATAGTACAACATAAAGAATCCGTAAAATCATGATAAGAAGAAATCCGTAAAGTCAGAGAC